TACTTAACTTTTTTTATCTTTTTTTTTCTTTCTTTTTTTTTTTTTTTCAAGATCTCAGGATGACATGTGGGGTGGTTATTTTTATTTTTATTGATTGTTGTTACGTGAGTTTTTGGTGAAAGGAGCGAGATTTTTTGATACTGGAGCGTGTGTTGGTCTGTGAATAATTGTAAGAAATAGTTTTTATTTGTTTGTTCCTCTTTGTTTATTGAGTCTTGACAAAGAAAAAGAAATTAAGTGATCGTTGAATATCGTTACAAATAATAGTAGTGTACGTAATTGGATCATCCGTAGGACTCACACAGAACTAGAAATTCAAAAAAAGGTCTTTGTGTGGTACGTATTCTCAACTGAAAAACCAACGTCTTATCCTTTTATTTTCATTCTGAAAAAACACAAGCCTAAAAGACTGTCAGCACAAAAATACACAGAAGTTTCTAGCAAAAAGTTGGACTTTTGCATACTCATATGCAAAATGATCTCTTAAAGACAAATCTGCATGTTGATAGGTCGAAAAAGCCGGAGGAAACTGTAAAACAATTTTTTTTAATGACTTGCAAAAATTTTTAACCATGCATGGAAAATTTCCAAGGTTATTAAGAAAATTTAGGACCAAAAAGGTCTCTTGTATTTTTTCTTCTGAAGTTAATCGTTTCAGATATTAATTATTTGAAGTTCGAAAAGAGCGAAAATGGCCATTTTCGACTTTAGAATATAATATGAAAAACCAACAATTTCAGTACTGCCAAAATTGAAAAAAAAAAAAACATTTCTTAACGAAGTCCTAAAGTATCCTTTACTTCATTGCTACTCTTTGTTTTTGAACCCTGTTTTAGGTACTCTTCAAGTTTTTGAAATGTGTACCGTGTAATACCCAGTGCTCTCGTTCATAAATAGATGTACATTCCCGTAGCTCAAAATTGCCCAAAACAGAGTTCAAAAACATGAGGTTGTAATGAAATAACTAAATATTTTTAGGGTTAAGACTAGTTTTTTTTCCTTTTTTTCGAACTTTTAATAATTAATATATAGTTTGGTAAAATGTATTTCACCCATTTGTTTTAAGTATACAGTTGAATACGTCATTTAAATACGTATGAAAATATATTTATTGACCAACTCCACGTTCCTCTTTGAGTATAAAATGTTAATTCTACCTAACAATTACAAAAATACCTATTAACAAAACCATTCACCTGCAAGATTTCATTATTCCTTTGCATTAATAATAATCTTATGATAGGTAAATATTTTATCCTAATCTATGGTACGTTGTTTGTATCAAATTATAATTAAAACAAAGATACATTTGTTTCATAATTATAATGGTGTATGAGTTAAGTACGGGTTGTAAGTACTTTGATTGCAAAAAAACAGGAATGTCTGAGTTGAAAAAATTATCTATTATAAATATTATTTGACGCAATATTTGATAAAAAAATAAAAATTTTTAAATACCCTTAAACTAATAAATGTTTATAAAATATCGCAAGTTAGCATCCTTAGCTCTAAAAATTAAATTATTCATTAAATGGAATGTTCATGTGATGTAATACACATTAAAAAATTTTTCACAAAATTTACCTCCTTACAGTTGAATTCTGATGCGTAAATGCATATAGTTACGTATCAAAGACGTTCACAGAAATCATTCGTATGATTGTTGGTGTTTAATTTTGAAGGCACTGACGTTGCAATTTTTTTTTGCTTAAAGCATACATAGTTAATCAAAATGTTTGTTTCTCAACAAATTTTTTTTCTAGTAACAACATAAAACTTAACAAAATAATTTTTTTCTGGAATTTTTTTTTGAAAATAATACTTAAAATCATATTGTACAGTAAAAAAAGTATTTTNATATAAAATACTGAATATTTGTTTGTCATTTAAAAAAAAAAAATTTTAATAGTACCTTATCGACTAATAACCACCTCCAGGTTTGTAAATAACTCCGTAAAAAAATATAAATTAAAAGATCGTCTTAATACAAGACTATACGCCTCTCAGTATACCTAAATTTCGTATAAAAAACTTAAACATCGTACGTGTAAGTACTCATTACGTTTTTTTCTTACCACTAATAAATATTATTAAGTAAAAAGTTTATCGTTTCATAAATATTACGATAGTACATAGTTTTGAGTATTTTCTTTCCAATCTCGAAGAAAAAAAAAAAAAAAAAAAAATCAATTTTTTCATAAAAAATTTTATCGACCAAATACCTTTGAGCCGAGTACGCCACGTGATAACAAGTTTCTTCGAAAGGCATCACGTGAATAAAAGTGTTAAAAAAAAACCACAGCGTGCGCTCACGCACAATAATCTCAAAGCGTACATTTAATCTATACAGTACCTGGAATGATTGAGTTCCCCTTGTTCGCTGGAATGTATTGAAAAAAATCGTGGGTCTAAAAAAAAAAAAAAAAATTTAAATTACCTAGCACGCAATCAAAGGCAGCAAACACCGGTGTTTGTGTATGTACGCGGAAGGGACGAAGTGGAGCTTCACTCGGGCTGATGGTGTCGCTTGAAATGCACCGTGAGATTACCCCTCTGTCTGGCCTTGTAGGGGCACTGGGGGCACTGAAAGGAGGGCGGCTTGTTGCCACACTCCAGTACCTCGTGCCTCCTCATGGTGCTCTTCCACCTGTAGCCCTTGCCGCAAAACCTGCACCTGAACTCCCTCGACTGGCTTGGTTCTTGCTTTTGCTGCTGCTCCTGATCCTGTTGCAGCTGCTGTTGATGTTGGCGTTGCAGTAGTTGCTGCTGCTCGAGGTACTGCCGGGAGACGAGGCCCAACGAGGCAGGGAACACAAGACTGTCCCGGGACTCGGAGGAGACATCGTCCTCGTCGATGCGCTCGATCTCCAGCTCGGACCTCCCTTGGAGATGAATGCGCTGGCGCTGGTCGCTCCGGCTGCGGGTCAGAGGCCGGGGTTTTTTGCCGAACTGCTTGAAGTTGCGCCGCAGCAGGGATATCATGCTCAACCGGCTCGACTTGCCTGCGAACAAAAACAGGGGGTCGGGGCCTGTCTGTTATAAGGTTCTCGAGACAATTGCGATCTCCTTGATTTGAGGGCTAATTAAATTGTGGTGAAAAAAAAAAAAAAAACAATAATAATAAAAATAAAAAATCTTCGAGAGCTTGTAGAGTAAATTGTTTTACTTGCAATTATTAGAAATTAAAGAAGAAAAAAATGATTGATTTCAGTGATAGTAAAAGGACGGAATGAAGAATAAATTCGTTTAACGTGCAAAATAACCTAGAGGTTTGCTAATTACTTTTTATTGTATAAAAAGATGTGAAACCAACACCAGTGAGATATATTCTTATGGTATATGTATGTACATAAAATGACTGGAAAACCTGTACATTTTTTCGAGTGTGTATATATTATATGGTATGCAAACAGTATAGTGTGTTTTTATTGAAAGACCACGTGTTAAATTCGCGAAGAATCATCGATGTACGCTCGAAAACTGCGTTATCACGGCTGCTTCATGGTGGTCGCGCACTGGCGCTGCATGTGTCTATTGAGATTGCACTTGAACTTGTAATGAGCCGGACAGTTGGGACAGAAAAATCGGACGGCAATGTTCGGCTGCTCGTGGCGGCGCATGTGACTGATGAGGTGCGAGCGCGTCCTACCTCGGTAGTCGCAGTGCTCGCACGAGTACTCGCGCGCCAGGTAGGCACGGTTTTTCGGGTAGAAGAGTAACTTTGGTGTCGGTAATATGGGCGCAAGGCCACACTCGGTGTACGTGAAGCCACTTCTCAGCAAACGCAAGCCTGGAACAGGAAAATTTTTTAAATCTTTTTTTTTCTTTCTTTTTTTTTTTTTTTCAAGATCTCAGGATGACATGTGGGGTGGTTATTTTTATTTTTATTGATTGTTGTTACGTGAGTTTTTGGTGAAAGGAGCGAGATTTTTTGATACTGGAGCGTGTGTTGGTCTGTGAATAATTGTAAGAAATAGTTTTTATTTGTTTGTTCCTCTTTGTTTATTGAGTCTTGACAAAGAAAAAGAAATTAAGTGATCGTTGAATATCGTTACAAATAATAGTAGTGTACGTAATTGGATCATCCGTAGGACTCACACAGAACTAGAAATTCAAAAAAAGGTCTTTGTGTGGTACGTATTCTCAACTGAAAAACCAACGTCTTATCCTTTTATTTTCATTCTGAAAAAACACAAGCCTAAAAGACTGTCAGCACAAAAATACACAGAAGTTTCTAGCAAAAAGTTGGACTTTTGCATACTCATATGCAAAATGATCTCTTAAAGACAAATCTGCATGTTGATAGGTCGAAAAAGCCGGAGGAAACTGTAAAACAATTTTTTTTAATGACTTGCAAAAATTTTTAACCATGCATGGAAAATTTCCAAGGTTATTAAGAAAATTTAGGACCAAAAAGGTCTCTTGTATTTTTTCTTCTGAAGTTAATCGTTTCAGATATTAATTATTTGAAGTTCGAAAAGAGCGAAAATGGCCATTTTCGACTTTAGAATATAATATGAAAAACCAACAATTTCAGTACTGCCAAAATTGAAAAAAAAAAAAACATTTCTTAACGAAGTCCTAAAGTATCCTTTACTTCATTGCTACTCTTTGTTTTTGAACCCTGTTTTAGGTACTCTTCAAGTTTTTGAAATGTGTACCGTGTAATACCCAGTGCTCTCGTTCATAAATAGATGTACATTCCCGTAGCTCAAAATTGCCCAAAACAGAGTTCAAAAACATGAGGTTGTAATGAAATAACTAAATATTTTTAGGGTTAAGACTAGTTTTTTTTCCTTTTTTTCGAACTTTTAATAATTAATATCTTTAAAAATATTTACTTTAAAGAAAAATAGCTCGTTACTTTAGATTTTTCAAAATTCACCAAAAAC